GGTTTTATTTTTTATTATTTTTAAATGGGCAGGTTTTATTTTTTATTATTTTTAAATGGGCAGGTTTTATTTTTTATTTTTTTTCATGGGCAGGTTTTATTTTTTATTATTTTTAAATGGACAGGTTTTCTTCCACGTGGTCCATGTGAGTTTTGGTAAATGTTAGAATGAAGCTGTCTCTTTGAGCTGCTCATCTTTATTTGGGGACATCAGAAGGTTTTAAAAGCGTCACATTGAAAGGTTCGACTTGTACATTTGATGTTTTTACAGGTTTAAATGAACCCAGCTCCTTCAGCTGCCAGCACACTGAACTGCTCCTGGTCTTGAATGTGTTGCAGGCCTCAGCCATGGGGGGATCCAAAAGTAAGTCCAAGGATGTGGGCCAGCGGAGCTGCAGCCTTGATGGGAAGCCCGGCTCTGGAGGAGGGCCAGGCAGCCAGCACCACAACACCCAGCAGTCGTCGACACCCAGCCGGAGCCCCACCATGGACGGTGGTCTCAGTAGCAACAAGACTCCAGAACTGAGCCTGTTTGGAGGTGCAGATAATAACAGTTACAACTCTGCTAACAGAGCCACACAAGCAGGTGGGACGTTGACTTTTCAAAGATTTCTCACCTTATTCTGGTGATTTTTAGGATTTTATTTTATTAGCTGGTACAGTTTGTGTGATTAAAGTCCAACTGTCTTCTTCCAGTGGGTGTGATGACGTTTGTGGCCTTGTATAACTACGACGCTCGAACAACCACAGATCTGAGTTTCAGGAAGGGTGAACACCTCCAGATAGTAAACAATACGTAAGAAAAATACACAAAAGTTTCTGACTGCCTGTTTTCTGTCTGCCTCTGCTTCCTGTCAGAGAAATAAGACGAGCAGGAACTGTGTCCTCATACGATCCTGTTGTTTTAGTAAACAGAGGAGCAGTGAAGCACATGTAGTGCACACAGTGCTGACCCACACACTGTTACTGTGTGGCTCCTGACACCACAAACACATGGTCACACACTGAATACACTCAGCATCTGTCTATGAGGCGCTAACTGTAGTAAAACATTTAAAATGTCACAAACATTTTTATTCTTTAGCTCACTTTGTTAAAAAAAATCACTAACATTTTGTTATTTAACTGACCGTTCTTACATTTTAATTAACTTTTATTAAATG